CCCCCCCCCTATTTGTTTTTCTAGGAGTTTCTAGGATTCTTGTATGTTCTTGTATGATTAGTAATAATACAACGAGAATTGAAAGTGGTATTGCATAAATACTGAGAGGGTCATTCCTTATGCGCCACTCGTTATTTAGCGTACAGACAAGAGTCTAATGTTGAGACCAAACGAAAAACTAAGTGGCAAATATGTTGGCGAGTGAACGACGAATGCCCATTTATGTTGGTCATAATTCAGCATAAATTTTTTCTAGAACAATAGTATATACTAGAAGAATCTAGTACTACTACTAGAAATCTAACGGAAAAAGTTGCATAATGTGGGAAAATGGTTGGTCGGAAAGTATTTTCAATGTATATGCAGAAAGTCGAAAACGGCCGCCGTTACAAAAATAATTCAGACGATTTTATGAAATTTATATCTGCTGAGCCACATTAGACTCTAATAATCACAAAAATAACTGTCATATACGCTAAAATGATCCTCGGTCTTTTCAATTTTGGATGAAAGTAGATCTAGTATTTATTTATAAAAATGTCCTGCACTAATTAGTATTATTACTCAAAAAACGAACATGATGGCCTTTTATTACTATAACTTTACATTCGAAAATGTTTTTTCTATTGAAAATGCTGTTTAACAGATTCATTAATCGTAGACATCAGCATATGTTCTGATTAACATTTTTCTCATTAATAGATTTCGACAGATATTAATCATTTTATCTGTAAAAACTTTGGGCACTTCAAAACTACAAAATATACCGAAATTTTTCAAGTTAAAAAATAGAATAAACTGTTCTACTTTACAGATTAGACTTTAGGAGTAGAATGGAGGTTTGCTACATTTAAGCGTACAAAGATCGGAAAAAAATCTTATAAAGCAAAAACTGTTTTTTTTCATTGCAAATGAGTTGTTGGATGTATCGGTCAATGAATAAAAGATTTCTCACAGCCACTTATCTCAAATTTTGATTAAACTCGGGAGGAAAAGAATAGAAAATTGAAAAGAAATATATGGATTTAAGCAAGTGTCTTTTGTTGAAGTCTGATGTGAATGTGTGGAAAATAGGAAAAGAAGAACGGGCGAACAAAAGCGGAAAAGGTGGCTATCCGGTTACAATGATATACAAGTGTTTCTATTTTAATTGATGTCAATTTAACTTGATATACATAAATCGAAAATGAATTTTAACTAATAAATTTTTTTCGCCTATGAGATAGGCCGTAAAATTTTGTACATATGAAGTCTTGCTTCTTTTACTAAAAATTCTTACTTCATTTATTTCGATCTAAATAGACTCAGAAAATATCGTAGAATTTCTTCTAATGCTACTCAGGATGTAAAACTGTGAGTTTTCCTATGAACATGAGGTAATATATAAAGAGATATGAACGAGCGATCACTGTTTCATTATAGGATCAACACTTCTACTTCAGCAAAATGTTAGTCGTGCTTATTTCATCTCTCTACTTCTGAAATTTGGATATGTTTGATCGAATCTATAATATGTCTATTTTGGTAAATGAAAAACTTCAAACTTTGTACTTGGTTTGAGAGATTAAATCAAATTAAATAACCAATGCTAAGACGCTTGGACTAGAGATTTTCTAAAGAGTCCAATTAAACATGTGGAAGTCCCACGTGTGAACATGCATGTTTTGTGCTATTAGTACACGTCTTCATTCATGGATTTGATCCATCTCACAAATGATCACAACATTTTTTATATACTTTTTTTATATACTTTTTCATGGAGTTCGTGCGTGAGAATCCACGAGTTTCTCACACTTTACATGAGTTTCTCTGTCGTTTCACATAAAAATGTTTTATGACAGCTGCAATCGATGTATAATAGATATCAGTTATTTTGTTCTGTCTCTCATTATATGTACAATTTTCTTAAACTTTTTAGTTATGTCGGCTGAACACGTGCTATTTTCTTTTCTTTTGCTATTCTGTCTCGTCTGCCATGAATTTTATTGGACAGATATTTTTTTTTCAACTGTACTATTTTGTACATGTGTTACGTCATTTCTCACGATCCAAAAAATCTGGACAAAATATGTTGATCTTCTTTTATCAGTAGTTTTCTCGTCAAAATGCCGTATTCAAAACGTTGGTCTTTTGATTATTCTCATGAGTGCTGGGAAGATGATAAAACAAAAAGAAACAATTATGAAAAACAAGTTTTTACAAAGGTAACTGCTCATCAATTCTTCTGGTTTTTCAAATCTTGGAACCCTTTTTTAACTGATTCTGATATCCTATGATTTTTAACCTTTTTATAAATTGAATATGAATAGCCTTCACTTCTTTATCTATCATTTGAATGAGTAAAGACTATTCATACTCAATTTATCTACAATTTCATTCATGTTGATATACTTCTTTTTTGCACTATATGCCAGAATACTTTTGAGCGAAACTCACCTCTTCTGCACGTATATTAGAGATGCATATTTTCTTTCATGTACATGAATCAAACTGCTTTCATTCAGCAATTTAAGAAGATCTTTGTTCACTTAAAAAGATAGCATGATTATCGACAGTTGATGAGATATACCCTTCTGTTGAGTTCAATTGAAAAAATAAAGAAAAAAACACCAAAAAAAAGTAGACCCATTCGAGCTAGTATAAAAGGTTTCAAAAAACGTTGATTGACAAATTCAAAATCTATTGATTATTTTTGCAAGAAGCTTTGTCATGATCCTGATCGTTCACAGCTTTTTATGATGTATTAATTGGTGATAAAGGGAAATCTGCTTTCAGAAACGAGTATAAATCTTTAGGACATAATTCCGTTTCTCTCTCCCAAATATGATAGTTCAAGAAGACATGAAATGAACGAAGAAAACATGAAAACAATCGAGTACTCCTGTGAAATAAATAGCTCAATAACTCAAGATATTGAGTTCAGATATTTCAGAAGAAAAAATGTCAAGAATTCAAGGTCTTGGCAATAAATTTTCTGGCCTTGATTGAGAATCTAGTTAAAAAAAGGCTCATGATGTTGGAACTTATATGCGAACAAGAGTGAGAAATAAAGTGAGTATTTCAGAATTATAAAGAACGTCAAGATCTTAGTAGAAAAAAGTACCACTAGAGCCAAGTAAGCTATTGTAAAACCTCTATAGATAATGAAAAAATATTCATAGAGTCTTGAAAGCTCTAAAATCAGAAGAAAAAGAGTTTCACCGAGTGTCATCGATGGAATCGAAGAAATATTATATAGCTCTATCACATTGTTTTATGATAAACATTTGTGTCGCTTCTAATTTTTAATACATTTTCTTCTGATTTGAGAAAATTTAAGCTACTTTCTAAAAAAGTTTCATGTCCTACAGAGCTACAAAAAGGATATTTCTATGCCAAGATACCCTTATTTTGAAATGCCCTTAATCGTATTTTACAACACTATTTTGGTATTTTAGTGTACCTTTTTGGTTTAGTAGAATTCCTTAAAGGGCATTTCTAATTCCACGTATCTGCATTTGTCACTTGAAGATTCCAAAAAGGGTATCTCGGCATAGAACTATCCTTTTTTTTAGTTCTGTAGGATACGAAATTTTTTTGGAAAGTAGCAGACTTTGTGCTTGCTATTTAAAAGCTTCTCAAACCTTTGGCAACAAAAAAAGACATATCTTTTATACTTATGGTGAATTGATCTTTTTCGATAATCTACTGTACACAACTTGTAGTGGACATTCAATAAAGAATTATTTTCGAGGCATGAGATAACTGATACCTATGACATGTGGATCCTTTGGCTGATGTTGCAAAGAATGGGTAGATTTAGACAATTCTTTTTCTGCTCCGTATATTCTTTGACGTTAGTCTTTACATTTTGTCTTCAACTTCTTCATCGATTAGTGTCTAAATTGGTTGCCAGAACTTTTGTTTAAAAAAATACTTTCTGTGCCCTGACATCCAAATTTCTCTATAAGAGACACTTTGTTGACAAATATACACAAAAATCTTTTTTTATTTTAGTCTACAATTGACCGAAAAATAACTTCAGTTACATTCTCGTCTTGGTGTGAGTCACGTAAAACTGCATTTCATCCATTACCAAACAATAAACCCGAGGATATACCCTCCGTTTATATTATTCCGACATTATTAAAAAATTCACCATCATGGACATTTCGTCGATTTTTGTTAACTGGTGAACAAAATTTATCAATATGGTCAAATAAATATTACAAAAATGCGTTAATCAGTTACATCAATAATATTTATCAACGAATGTATTCCTACGAATCATTAGAGAAAATTGTTAACAAATATAATAATCCATTATTCCATGATGAACTGGACGTATTGAACATGTTACTTACTGAAATGAAACAAACATTCTCGGCATCATCGTCAACAATTAAAAAACGTGAACAATATCGTGCAATAAAAAGATTAGAAGAATTTCAATGTATATATGAAACAAAACATAAAACAAAATTTACATTTGATCCACCGTCCAATGATCAAATTAATTTTAATATAAATAGTTATTTTGATTTGGGATGTGGTGATGCACAAATAACAGTGCTTATTGGAGAATATTTAAAACTATCAAAAGAAAACATCTATGGTGGAGATATTTATAATATGACCAATAATGAAATAACATATGTTCAACTATTAAAAGATAGTCCGTTTATTAATTTAGGCAAGCATCTACTTTCTTTCTTTCTTTGTCAGGATCTCTATTACGATTCTTTTCTATAATACTTGAGCTTATAGTTGGTAAGATTAGATGTGTCAACGCGACTTGAACTATTTCTCTGGTATTTTTTCTTTTCTTTAATTTTAGCTGATGATCAAGTTAATCTTATCACCTGTTTGGTTACATTACATCATGTAGAAAGTATTGATTGTACATTGAATGAAATAAAACGTATTCTTCGACATGATGGCTATTTGATTATTCGTGAACATGATTGTAAAACTGAACGAAGTTTAGATGCAAAATATTTAAATTTTATTCATGCCATTATGATGATTGAAAACATTGGTGAATTTAAATATGAAAATCCATGTGATGATAATGATTGGCCTAGGAAAAAACAAAGAATTATTGATTATGTCAAAACGATTAAATATCATACAAGACAAGAATGGGATAAAAAAATTGAAGCTCTAGGATTTAAAAAATTAAAAACAGCTAAATATCCAAACTCAAATCCTCAAAAATTATTTTATGCTATATACAAACTACAAAAAAACAGATGAAACTCACAGTTGTGATAGTGTTTTTCCGTTGCTTTTTTTTTCTTCTTTTTTGTTGTATTTTCTGTGAAATAAATTTTTATCAAACTTACGATTATTCAATGTTTTCAACCATGTCCTATGTTTAGAAAATTTTCGCGTTAAAAACAGTTTTTAATATTTTTTGTTTGATCTTAATTCTGCATGGCGTCTGCTTTCAGAGGTGTCGTCATTAGTCATATCTCAGTTATAGTAGTTGACTGTATGATTTAGTGCCCAATTTTATGTGAGTACAGACTTGCTAACCGGGATAGACAAAACCATTATCTGCAGCCCTATTTTTATCGTCACAATTAATGGTTTGTTCCTCCTGATTATCAAGTTTAAGTGCGTGTTTTCTAAAAATTTTAGTATTTGTACCTGTAATTTTTAAACCAGATGGAATTTTTCCTGTTGCAGTTTAAACAATAGAAACATTTGATACATGAAAAGCTAGTTGTACTGGGTATTACACGATGTACTGTTATAAAGCAGAATAAATGAATTAGATGAGGTATAAAAAAATTGTTTTTTTCAGCAAAACTGGATGTTTTTAAAATTTTCTCTAATTTGCTAGTGAAAAGTGATAGAACCTCGAGAGAACTAATTAAGGATGAATTTGACTCCTACAGTTGTGTTATACTTGATGAAAATGGAGCTAAAATATATTTAGAAAACTCTACAGAGTGATCAGGTGTCAACTATAGCCAAACTGTTTCACATAACATCAATAGTAGAATGATGATAAGAAAATATAGTGATGTTCTTCGGTCAAATCTTTACCAAAATTTGAGAATACGAAGTCAAACAAATTGTAAATAATGGATGCAATGGAAGTTTAGTATACTCCGCTCAGACAGCTGCTCGTTTCATCAAAGAAGATATCATCACAAAATATGGAACTCCTCGACGTATCTTGACGAATAACGGAAGTCATTTCACAGCCAACGTGATGGTTGAATTATTTCAAGAAATTGGCGTTACTCATTTATATTCAACGCCATATCATCCACAAACCAACGGCCAAATTGAACGATATAATTTAAAAATGGGCTAAAATTATAGCGTTATCCAACGAACAAAAAACCGATTGGGATGATCAACTCCCTTTTATTACATTCAATTATAATACCGTGCTCCATGTAACAACAAAACAAATTCCATTCGAAATGATGTACGGTCAATCTCCGATCCTTCCTTTTGATCATCAAGACCCAAATGTCTCGCTCACACAAGACTCAGAGCATTGTAATAAATTAAATAAATATTTGTCGTCATTAACCGAACAAGCAAAGCAAAACATCTCGAAAAGTCAGCAGCAATGCTAATGCTAATAGATCAAGCGCAATGTACAATATTGGTGATTTCATTCTCGTTAAAACACTCAATCCTCGTCACAAATTCGATATTAGACATGAAGGCCCATTCAAAATCGTCCAACCGCTTGGTCCAAAGACCTTCATCATCGAACATGTAAAGAAGACGACATTATAACGACAAGTGGCGGTCGACGCGATCATGCCCCTTTTTCAACGAACACCATTACCATAGAGGATCGCTCGAATTTCGAGAGATCCATTTTCGATGATCAAAAAATATCAAACAACCAGAATGATTTAATTAGCTATATAGTATGAAATATAATGTAGCAGTACTGGCCGGGGAGTAGCAGTTTCTCTTCTCAATGACCACAGGGGCTATTATATTAAACTTGTGGTTATTCTATTGATGAGTTGATTATTCTCTTGCTCGTGACATAGAATGCTCGAAATTCGTTTCGGATACTTATTATCCTTATTATTAGAAAAAACTTAGGGTCACACCAGAAAGGACGTCAACACCTCTGTAATAAGAACACGGAGAGACCTTCCTTAGGAGGTTTCATAGGAAAACCGAGAGACTCTCGCAGGAGTTTCAAAGATCTAGGCTCTTCTTCTAGGAGAATCATGTATTTCCCACATATTTTTCGTCTCATTTAGAATGTTATCCAACGAACAAGTCGAAAGAATCGAAGCGAACTGCTAAGCATACCCGCACATTTAAACGCTAAGCAAAGAGGTCATTTTCGTTCGTTTCGACCTAAAACATTACATGAACATTATTTAGCATCAACATTCCCACTCTTCGATCCTCCTAAATCTCACTATCAAGTATATTACGTTAATTAGACCACCTCGACAACAATATTACATGAATTGATTTCGGCCTTCAAACAAACAACGTCGTACGTTTTTTATGCTGAATCCATCACACAGAAAGGCGAACAAAACCAACCTGCTCTGATTCAACTTCAATTTCTTCTTTCTCAACCATCGATCATCCTAATTGTCGAAGTGTTTCATCTCCCAATTGCTGGTAGTAGTAAATTTATTCTAATTTAACAATTATTTACTATTGTTCTGAACACGGACAAAAAATTCATACATGGGAAGATATCGAAGAATTGAACAAATTTGTTAAATATCAACTGTTTGTGGCAGAACAAATTCTCCAGCCCAGTGCTTTCGACGTTCAAAAAGAATATGAAAACGATTGGCGCACAAATCGTCCTCGCCGTACCATCATTTCAACTGCAGATGAAGAAGAATGTATTTTGTCATACATGCATTGGAAAACAGCCAAACGATCCATGGTCGTTGCAAGACGCCTTAGAATATGAATCCCGTTTATGGCTTGGTAAGCGCATGATATTAAGTCCATGGAACATTGATCTTGATCCAATGTTATTTTATCTCAATGAAAAGAACAGAAACAACACCGAACATGGAGTCTTTATGCCATAAAGGATTGTTTAGCAGTTGAACTACTCATGAAAGCCAAGGCAAATCATTCCAAACCACACCCAATACAGCCATCAGTTCAAGTCCCTTGTGAGCCACCATCAGAAGAAGAGTCCGATATCGAGGCAGCTGCACGATTTACACCTATTCTTCCCGTTAACCGTTTTTCAACACCAACAATTGTTCCTCTTGTATCACCTCCAATCTCACCGTCCGTACCATCACAAATTCAACCTCAGCAGCAACCACCGTCACAATAAGAACCAAATCGCATCGATCAAACAACTAGCTACGAACCAATCTCAGATGACGCAACACCTTCGACAAGTGATAAATCACCACCACCGTCATAATTTATCGTCATTATTCCTGAAGAATATCCTTTTCTGATTCCAGCCTCACCGGTGGTATCACTATCTGCAAATAATCACCAGCCCAAGAGCGAGTCACATATCGTATCAGACGCCCTCCAGCGGCCTAAACCCCAACTATCAGAGTTACAGAAGAAGAGAAAGAATCGTCGAAAACTTTGAAACAACGCGCTCGAAAATTTGCAACAGAAATTATCCGACGTAATATTTACAAATTGTGGTCGGCGAAAAAACCATTGAAGTATTAGACAGAAAAGGAATTCCGCACTCAAGAGTCCTCACACGAGTATCACCAACAACAACTGGTAACCATCATATATTTATTGGACTACAGAAACCGGACGATTTCCATCGCTGGGATCTATTAACAAGTGATTGTTTCACTGAGACACATTTGAGTCAAGTCTACTTCCCACGTTGTCGGACAGGAACATCAAAAGATCAGTCTACTAGATCAGATCATTCAGCTTATCCAGAAGCATTTGACCCTCCTTCAAGACCAAGAGAAACAGATCGATCATTCCCATCAACCAAGCAAATCCCGGTGAATGAAGGAACAAGAACAGTAACTGGTAGTCATCATCAAGCCAAGCACAAAAAAAACCTCTGACAGCGCGGTTACCAGCAGTCCAAGCGGTCATGAGTGCCGGCTGTCGGCGGCTCAACGGTCACAAGTAGCGATTGTCGGCGGCTCAAGGGGCCATGAGTACCGGTTGTCGGACTTAGACAAAAAAACACAAAAAACCGCCTAAAAGAGTGGCTGCAAGGGATGTAAAAAACCGCTTGAATCACCCGCATTTGTGTGAAAATAACCGCTTTGCCCGCTCAAAACCGCGGTCGGCGGCCGCTTACACTATTTTTGATATTGTTCGGAAAACTGCCCAGAATCGCCGTCTATCCATTTGTCTATGCATCGCTGTAGCACCACCTGAAACAGAAAAAATTTTCTGGGAAACCTCAGCCCAAGAGGAAAACTGCGTTGCTTCACTTCAACTCCAGTAATGAAGTGAAGCGGAGTGTGAAGGAAAAAAATAGATTTTTTATTTTGTTAATTTGTATGAGAAAAACATACGTATATAGGTAATTTGGCATGGAGATGATAGATCTGAAACATTGAACCGCTCTCACTTTTATTCTAAGATCAAATGCAAGTTATGCAAGTTAAGTGACCCTTTTATATCAAAAGTTGTTGTTTTTCATTCTTTTTTTGTGACATATACGGATTTAGTTAATCTGTGAAAGAGGTGTGACTCAAAAGGAAACTTGTCGAAAAATCCGATAGTTTAACATTGTGACTAGTGAAAATGTGACCTATTTAAGAGAGTAGAGAGCTGAATTTGCTACCTAACTCTCTATTCATACTGATTTTTTCCTTTCCAGATAGAGATTATAACAAGACAAAGGTATTATCTGCTCGACGAACGCATTAAAATTTGTTGCACTATGTTCTCGAAGAAAAGTCCGAGTAAAACATAGTACAATCGTAGATAACAAAATGGTGACTGGAAAAATGTGGAACTAGTGCGTACCGGTGGAACAGGGCGTGCCGTACTAGTAGTATCGGTCTTTTTTCAGTACTGTACTGGGATTTTTCTGTAGGAGAGTCGATCATGTTTTTCATAAAATCCTTACAAGAAACTTATAAGAATAACGTACGAGTTTAGCTGACTCTTATCAATTTCTTATTACACTAATTCGGGTATTTCAAGCAGTTTTTTAGATGAATACTGTATTAGAAAAGCGGATTTTTAACAGAAAAATTGCGGCTGGCGACGGCTTTCTCACCAAGAAAAACTGCGTCTGTAGCCGATTTTTTTACCAAAAATGACGGTTCTAGGCGGTTTTTCCGAACAATATCAAAAATAGTGTAAGCGGCCGTTTATCGCGGTTTTGTGCGGGCAAAGCGGTTATTTTGAAACAAATTCAGGTAACTAAAGCGGTTTTTTACATAGCCATTTAGCCGCTTTGGCCGCATTTTTAGGTGGTTTTTTCTGTATGGGATAACAGTACAAGTATCATCACAAATCCCGGTGAATTAAGAAAGGAAAGAACAGTGAAGAATTATCTGTTGAAAATTTGGATAAAACACAATTTTTTCTCTGAGGGGAGGACTGTTACAGGCCTAGGCTTTGCACATAACGCGTAATCATGATCTAAGCGTATATTATTGCATCATCTCGTCACATGTTTAGTCGCGTAACTTCTAGGCCCTACATGTATTATTGAAGGATTATTTTCTTCCTTCGTCCAGTTCTACGTTTAGTCGTTTTCTCCCTCGTTCATATTCTATGGTTCTTTTCCCTTGTTCTCTGTTTTATCCATATATATATAAATAGTGTGTGTTTCTCAGTTTTAGCAGCACTTCTAGACGCCATCGCGTATCGCCACTTGTTATTCGTTTTATGTTTGTCCATTTTCAACCTCTTTTTTTAAGTTTTTAATAAAAGGGGATTCAGCTTCCAGCAACAATCTGCTTAATATTAGCTTCAATTTAGTGAGACCATCGCTCACAAGAGGAGAACTGAAAAATGATTTTTTTCTTTTAGAAAAAATAAAATTTACCGTGAATTTAACTTCTCTTTGTCTATATCATTCAATAATTGGGCTTTTCAAGTTGTTCGTCCTTCCCCCTCTCTCCCCACCACCAGATGGTCACTGGAGTGATCGAACTACTATGCAAAAAGGCGAATGTATCTGGCTGATCTGACTATACTATTAGCATTGAGTAGACTAGTGCTGGTCTAATGATCGTTTTATTAGTAATTCTTTTGGAACTGCTAAAGAAAAAAATGCTAAAATGCTAGAAATCTACATGTTATAAAATGTGAGATGAATAAAAATTTTGGGTTTTATATGTTAGGTTTGCTTATGTTACATAATTGAACAAGTTGATTTTTTAGGTGGTGGTTTTTTATCCCATTCATTTTCTTTTAACCATTGTTCCATTGTTCTTAACTGTGGAAATTCTTTTTTTACCTCGGGAATATTGGTATCATAACCTGTTTTCTCGAAAAAGTCCGCCATTTTATACATTTCGTTTGAATACAATCGTAATATTATTGAAGGCATCTTTTTATATTTCAAATCGCGACCCAATACACGACTAAATACTTGTGCTAGTTCAGTTCCCGTTAAATTATCACCAGCTAAACTGACGGTTTTTTTAGCATATTTTTTCGGCTCCTCAAAGGCTTTATTTGCTGCTATTCCGATATCTTTGCATGCAATCCACTGTAATTTTGTGGTGGGTTTGATTAAGAACATGAGAGAAGAATATTTTGGTTGCATTTGTGGGTCGTCAAAATTGTCCATCAAACACGTCGGTCTAAGGATAGTGAAATTGGGTAAATTCAATTGTTTTATATGTTGTTCAATTAAATATTTTGAATGGAAATGCGGAACATTGGGTGCTTTTTCTGCTGCATTAACGCTTGAATACACTAAATGTTGAACATTGGCTTTTTTGCATGCATCGGCAACCATAATTCCTAAAAGTAGCGTCGCAATTGAAATTGTGTTTACCAGATGACAACGCTTCATTACCTTGTTTAACTTCATTCTTTCCCATTTCTTGTACAGAAAATACACCATAGCTTCCTTGAAATACATTGGCTAACTCATCTGTTGTAACTTTGTCTAAATCAACTTTTATAACTTGAACACCTTTTGACAGTAATTCTTTGGCTTTTGCGCTCTCTGGATTTCTTGTTATAATAGCTGCATTAAACTTTTTACGTTCTAATAATTCTTGAACAACTTCACCGCCTTGTTTGCCTTGAAATAGAATGAAAGACATGTACTTAACTAAACATGCCAAAATGTTATACATACCAGTTCCACCGAGAACAACAACTTGTTCGGAACTTTTTCCAGTGAACATAATATTTATCTATTTCAGTTTTTCTAAAATAATGAAGAGCCTGTTGGTCTCAAAGGAAAAGTATAAGTTTTACGTCTCGGAGAACCATAGCCAATAATCACATGAGAAACTCGCCCCTGAGAGACATCCACCATTTGGTTTTGCTAAGTAATATAGCATATAAAACTAATTTTGTAGAAAGGTTTCGATTGCCTCCCATGAGGTCGACTCATCCTATCCTCCGCCACCACTTAAAATAATAATGTCAAGTGCAAACTTGACATTACTAAGAACTGGAAAAACTAGTGAAAGAACTTCTCGACTAGAGACATTACTTCAACCGTCAATCGTATTATCGTATGTACCTGTCTTGCGACAGTCATCCGCAACTGTGTGATATACAAAAAGTAAAACCCTCATAAAACGTGAATAAAATGTTTTCAGCGCTCTTTTTGCGTCTTCTCTCTCAAGAATGTCTCCTGCTTTTCTCCAACTTTCACGTGTTATTTCACCATCATACTATGTATTTCTCTCTTATTTTGTGCTACTAACTGGAAACGTCGTTTGATGATGATGCATATTACAGAACAGTAAAAACAAAACATGACGAAACAAAAATGAAAAACACAACCGAAACGTTTTTCATACGCACTCTGGACCGTGTGAATCAAGAACGTTTTATCCATTATATAAAACTCCACAAGTTTGAGAAAAAGAGACAACTCATGGGACATTCAATGAAAATGACTAATCGAAAATTTTTTCAAACTTTTTATAAGAAAATTTCAAGAATAGTATTGAGCGAATGTCTCCTTATCCCTACCTCCTTCCCAGGGGTGTTCTAATTCGAATTAGAGTTAGAATATGAAGTTTCGTATCGGCATTATGTGTTATCGTAGATCGGGAATTTTTAAGTTTTAGAATTTTGAAATATCCAATTTCTCGATCCTGATCGATCTGAAATTCTCCTATTTTTCGAGAATTTTGGAATGTTTCGGCTTTTTGAGAATTCTGGGACATTTGGTTTAGTGACAAAGAATGTGTGGTTGTACGGAAAACGCCGTGTTGCAGAGGTACATTGAGCTTTGCAAAATTGTTTATTAGGTATCTTTCTAACCGAAATTTATGCAAAAGTCGCTGGGAAGCAGAGGTGGGCGAGTTCACAGTTTTTCCAGTATGAGTACAAAACAGTTTTACTCGAGTATGCACTCGAGTACAAACTTTTTTAACAAAACAGGTCGTCGGAAAACTTTTCGCGTGTAATGATAGTATATTGATCAATCTCTTCTGACATGAATTCCTTTTATTTTTAGTTTAAACTCTCCCATATGGAGAGTAACGAAACAAATAAGAGTGAAACTAACTCAAAAGCTTCATGCACACTTAATTTATATTATATTAGCTGTTGAGATCATGAGGTGACACAGTTACAGTCACGATGATGTAGGGTTACGTACATCGGTACAGTTACGATTTTTGAAGTCGATACGATACAATAAACAGTATGGTAAAGATACAAAAACGATTTTCTATTGGCTATAGAAATATCACGAATAAAAATCAGGGGTAAAGTAGGGATGATGAAATTGTACCGTGATATGTCAAGATATTAATACATCATTGAACGAAAGTAAAGTTTAAGACCTAACAACCAAAGCAATTTTTTAATTTTTTCACGTTCATTGTAACGATTTACCCTTAGCAATTGCTTCTGACGTATGTTAAACCATATGTTCATTGACTAAGTTCATTTTGTTTTTGCAAGTATGATTTTTTTTCTGCTTTGTCTAACTGTAGTCCGATGATATAATACACAAGTATCTGAATGTAACAGTGTACTGCAATTTTTTTACGAGTAACAGTAAGCATCTCGAAAGTCTTAAGCTCACTTTTTGCTTTCCGGAAATCCGGTAAGTCAAATTTGTCTGTTTTAGATGAGTATATCAACAAGACCTAATTATTCATATATTTTTCATTCTATTCGTTTGTTACTTTCACGTTCAACGTTATTTAAAACGTTAGCAAATCGTTCTTCAATCCGACGTCGATTATTACTTACTGGAATGCTATATACAAGTATTCCTCTAACGTTTACAGCATTTAAATATATAATTACGAATAATACACCAGTATTACCGGACTGGAGCAAACGTTTATTCATTTTACATGCAAAAGCAGCTGATTTAACAACATCGGGTAAATAAATTATAAACTCCTGTATTTTTCAAAGAAATGAAAGTTTCTCCTTATCTCTGTCCACAATTCCCCTGTTTGGTCTTTAAAGATATTAGTGAACTCATGGTACGTGTTTCTATAGTAACCTTACTATCGTTTTTGTTACATCCATTTAGAGAGACAGTTATTTGAAGCAGCTCATCATGGTAAATTAGATACATTGAAACGGTTAGTTGAATGTTTAGTCAAACCATGAATCTTTGTTCCATTACTTGTTTCTTCCAGTTTGATTGAACAAGAAAATGTTAACGTGAATAGTCGACATCCATTAGGATGGCGTGTGTTGCATGTAGCAGTGATCAACAATAATATAGAGTATGTATATACTTTAGCTAGTATTATAACGTCAGCTCATTATTGTGTTCTTTAGATGTGTTAGATATCTTCTACAGAAAGGGGCTGATCCAAATGTTTGCGATGAATACACAAATGTATCACAGATGGCTAAACAGTTACAATGGCATCCTGTTCACGTTCATAGTGCAAGAGAAGGAGAATTTTGCGATCGTTTATCGAGTCGTGCAACATTCAAAGGTTTTACACCTTTACATTATGCTGTTTTAATAGATAACATTGAAATCATTCAATTATTGATTGAGTATAATGGTGATCCATTATTAGAAAATGAACAAGGTCATTTGCCGTCAGCATATGCATTAACAAATAGAAAAGATTTATTAATACAGTATGAAAACAATGTATGATCATCCTAAGCTTGATTTTATATTATATTTACGAGAGAGGAACATTTTTGCACGTTATATCACCAAAATATCCTTCTTTTCATCTGCAAATAGTTCATGTGCATTTTTTCTGCAAATTTTCAGTTAATTCTAATAATTCGTTTTTACCTGCTCCGTCCTAACTTTATGTTTCATTAGGCGAGATTTGTTTCAAAATAATAGTCTATTTTTAGGTTAGATAATTTTTGTGTTTTTCTTGTCTAGGCGAAAAAAATGCATGAGCAGCGCATCAGAGATGAACGTCGACGACGACCGCTCGAAGTTAGAATTAAAGAAAATATCGTTGGACAAAACTATGCTATATCATCAGTTTGTGCTGGTAATTCATTATCTGATCATACTATATTGACAAGAAATCGTCGTATATAAATTTTTTGCTTGTTCACAGCTATTCGGCGAAAAGAAAGCGGCTGGACTAGTGATGAATCTCCGCTGGTGTTTCTATTCTTGGGATCTTCTGGGGTTGGTATGTAAGACATGGTAAAATAATAACTGACTTACTCAAAAAATTAAAACCTTTCAATCGAATTTTCTAATTTTTGTTCATGGAATGTATATGCTATGCCTGTTTATCTGAACAGTATATCTTTTGCTTTCAGGTAAGACTGAGTTGGCTAAACAAGTTGCCCGATACCTAAATGGCGATAAAAAACAAAATCGTTGTTTTATTCGTATTGATATGTCCGAATATCAAGAAAAACATGAAGTAAGATATTTTATGGAATCCTCTTATTTACAACATTCAATGTGAAAGTTTATTTAAGGTTTCTAAATTAATTGGTGCTCCTCCTGGTTATATTGGCTATACAGAAGGGGGACAACTCACAGACGCACTACAAAAGTGTCCGTCAGCCATTGTTTTGTTTGACGAAGTCGATAAAGCTCATCCAGATGTTCTTACAGTAATGTTACAATTATTCGATGAAGGTCGATTGACAGATGGCAAAGGAAAAACCATTGATGGCAAAAATGCAATTTATGTAATGACCAGTAATTTGGCTAGTGAAGAGATTGCAAAATATGCACAAGAGTTGAGAAACGAAGAGGACATAAGAATAAAATCATCTAATTTAACAAATGGTATTATTCTTTTTTCAAGTAGAGAGGAATAGTTATATTTATAGAACATTGTAATATTTTAGAGAATGGTGAGCCAGATAATCAAAAAATAACAGTGTCTCGACAATTTAAAGATAAAGTGGTTAAACCGATTCTAAAAGTTAGTCATTATAGTTGAAAGATCTAAACATTATTATGTTGGTCTCTTCTGTTTCTAGCGTCATTTTCGTCGTGACGAATTTCTTGGTAGAATTAATGAAATGGTTTATTTTCTTCCATTCTCAAGAGCAGAAATTGTGAAATTATTAACAAAAGAGTTAGAATTTTGGCAAAAAAGAGTAAGTATAGATTCATTTTATCATTATGACATCGATTTTCGGAAATTGTTAGAGCTTTCTGTAATTTTTCTCTATTCACCATTTTAGGCAAAAGACAATCATGGCATTCAATTAAGTTGGTAGGTCTCTCTTTTTCCGATAGCATCTATGATTAAATGTTATCCAAACAATAATTTATATCTAGTTTTGTTCTTCTAGGGATCGAAAAGCTTTAGACTGTTTAGCTGATGGTTATGATATCAATTATGGCGCTCGATCATTAAAGCACGAAGTATCATCTCATTATACAACGTAAAGACTAAAAAAAATAGTTTATCACTTTTCCTGTTCTAGGTTGAACGTTCTGTCGTAAATCAATTGGCCGCTGCACATGAACAGGGATTGATTGAATCTGGATATCAAATATTATTAACAGCACAGGAAAATGTATTTCAATCAAATGATTCAGCGTCGGGTTCATCTGTTAAGTTACAACGAATCGAATCGAAAGGAAACGGTTTCTTTGGAAAAAATCCTCAGAGTGTGACTTATACAGATATTAGACCAGAAGATCATTTGAAAACATATGCATACTAAATACAATGGTTTCAATTTGTTTATTCGAGCCAAATGTATCTCCACGAGATATAGTTAGTTTTCGAGGGATGCAATCAACATGCATTTATTAATGATTAGTTGGTGCATAATTTGGTTGGAACGACTAATAAAAATTAATTCCAGTGATAAGATTTTTTTATTATTTTGCTTTTTGTATTACAGTGAAACACAAATATCCTCTTTTGTCCTGGATCTTTTCCCGAACAGTCGCTATGTTCAAAGCAAACATCTAGTTTAAAAAATATCTTCTAAATATGCTGATCAAATGAATCAAAATTGATATCATCTGCAGCAAATGATTTGATCCAATTTTTTTTTATAATGTCGATTAGTTTTGGTGCCAAACGTTGTAGCATTGGTCGATCTTGTATTTTACAAAAACATTCGTTAAAATATTAAAGGAAGTCAATAATTTATACACCCGTATGTACCTCTAACAAAGACCTCTCTTCGTCTATATACCTTTCCTTACTGTTGTTGTTGAACGCAATCATTTAAAAAGTGAGTATGCACAGAACATACGTTCAGCTGTTGCAGAATCCGCTGAATATAAAATAGTTTACAAATGGAATGATCAGTACTTATATAATAGTCACTCTAGAGCAATTGGACGCAAAATGATACGATGATACTCAGTGTGAATAGAAACGGCTAAGAAATCTTAGAAAAACAACTGAACAAAATTTTTTTTGTTGCACTTCTAGCACTAGAAGTAAGGCAAATTTGTTCTGCATGTAAAACAGGAGTGGTTGGATGAGAAACACTTGGTCATAAGATCTCAAAACTTCACTTTTGATAACATGGTAAAAAGTATTTTAAGCTTAATGCTTAGTTACAATTATTTTTCTATATTATTATACACAGAAATATAGCTAATAAAATAAGCCTTCGAATATGTATGAAAATGATGAGAGAAATGTCGTAGATAGATCGTGTGAGATAATTTGAGTAAATGAGTTTTGCAGGTTCACAATGTACAAAATATTTCTCTACCACAGACGGCACGTTTATTATAAATTTCAACAAAATCCGGCAAGAAATTGATTAACTAAAATAATACTCTCAGTCGGTTTTTCGCCAATAGATCATTTACGTTATATAATATCAAAGATGATAGCACATGAAAAATGTTAATGCTACTGAAATTCTAATAAATTCACGTGTAAACAGGAATTACGCGAGATTCTCATCAGATTCGAACGACAGTCCCATGAAATTTCGCATGAGAATCTCTTATTTCATGCATTTTTGCGGCCCTGAAAAAACGGCATTAGTTAGATAAAAGTTTTAGATAAAGTCACATGCAAATCAGATTTCCAGATCTCTGTTTTTTGTGGATCGAATCCTTACTACTGTTGCGGAAATATCCGCAAAAACGCTGTCCTCTTCGGTATGGAATAGCATAAACGAAAAAAAATGATCTCTCGATCATTACAAGTTATCATATTTAGCAAAACTTTGTATACGCACTTATTTCTTTACGACTGCTAAATTTAATTGTTAATTTATTAAATTAACAGAAACAAAATAGAATACAAGAAAAGCATGGCTATAAAACAACATTTAAAAATAAAATGTATATACATGTGAAATAAAAAACATCTATTATCGTAACATTCAATTAAACTCGTCTCAGACGACATACAGACAAATCCAGAGTAGAAATTTAGCATCTAAACACGAATATAAATATGACAAGTTACGGAAAAAGAGAAGAGAAGGTGATTAATCTACAAAATGAGGTGAGCAAAAGTATACTGTTTAATAAAAAAAATAGACAACATGTTTGTGTGCAAGAGTATAAGAGTAAATAACAATGAGAAAAGAGGTAATAAAAAAATAACAATAGCATAGGAACAATAAGAACAACAACAAATTCAAGTTAGGCGAATATTTTAATGGCAATGTAAAGTGTCTTCATAAAATTTCAATGTAAATATTCGTGCAGAATATTTATTGTACAGCTCATTACCAAGAATATTTATCATTTCTTCCTAAAGAGAAATCGAATTCAAATGAGAATCCTATCATAATACATACATATATAACACTGTTTGTTCAAATTATCTACACTAACCGTTAGTTCAGCTTCTGCAACACGATCTATAATATCAAGTGCTCGACGAAGTCTGGATGAACTTATTTCTCTTAAACAATCCCTAAAAATAATTAAACTAAACTCGTGACCTATAGATAAATAATATTATTAACACACTTACTGTCTTAATGAATTATATCTTTGAGAGACTTTACTCGTTCCACCTAACGGATTTATCGTTCGATCAGCCTGTAATATCTCATCAGGAGGTAGAAGAGATGATCGTTTTGTGACAGAGGAATATTTTACTTCTAAATAAAAAGAATTTATACAATTATTAAATATGCTTTCATCGAGTATACTCTTTACCTCTTTCGTCCTCGTCGACGATGGTTCTATCACTCGTTGAACTGCTATGTGTTAATTCATTATCGTCGATTGATTCTGAACGATTGATCCCACTAACAGATGCTGGTAGCTTAAGTGTGCTTGTCAACATGAACAATAAATCATTCATATCTTTCTCTCTAAAAATACAATGTGTACATTTGTATAGGTATAAACAATAGTGCAACAGTTCCATATTTTTACCCTTCTTTCTTTTTTTCTACTTCAGTATTTACACTTTCTTTTGATGTTGACCTACTCAACGGTTTATTGTCTTCACTATTATTTTCGAATACCTAACAAAAAAAAAAAAAAAATTCTTAAACGTACTTTGAAGAGAAACTATTTACAATGTTTTACTTTCAGTGGACCAGATTTTGAATAATGTTTTTCATTCGTATGTGAATTTCTCGTTGCAACAGAATTTGAACTAATATCGGCACTATGATGCATGAATTTTTCCGATTTTGAAGGTGAATAATGATTTTTTTGATCGATATAGGCATCCATCGACGTTGCAGGATATGAACGATGTCGATCATTGTCCAAATAAAAATTAACATCATCATTATGATTATTATCAATAGGCTCATTATCATTCGATAATAAACCAGCAATAGGTGAAGAACTTGCACTATGACTAGAATGAACGTCACTGGAACCATGGAGTTTTTTACGACGTCGCATACGAGCATTTTTATTCGGACGAGTACCCTTGAGAAAACAATAAAAAATTAAATCTTTCTGTGTAGTTGTATAGAATTATTTTTTTTCAAAAATTACATACTTAAAAAAAGACAAGATACATACTTGATTAGAATCAAATGAACTATCCATTTGTGATATTGAATCGTCAATGTTGTACGAGAAACGATTATTCTCTTCTCCATTGCTCATATAGTGACCGGCTTCACTTTGCCGCCGGTATCCATTATCGTTATATGCTTTTCCAGATGATGTTGATGACGAGGAAGATTTATGAAGTATTTGATCATGTATCTAAAGTAGATGATATTTTAAAATGGTGAAACATTCATTGGATTTTGATACTTACCACTGGTGCATATTCGGGATCTGATTCTTGAGATCTATCACTATGTAATTGTTCTGAATTGCGCAAATGATTCTGTATTTTTTCTTGTTTAATATGATCATTCAATTGAGTATGATCTCGTCGACGGCGATTTAATGTATCATTTTGTCTTACTTTCTCTATAAACCTTCTATCAACTTCATCATCGACTTGTTGTTGTGATACGGGTATGTTGTTAGGTGCATTTCTTTGTTGAGTACGACGTGTTCTCGCTTCACTAAGTTTTCTCACGTCATTTGACGAGGACGGTGGTAAACCAGAAGCATCATCAATTGATTTCGCAGATGATACTCGTGGTGTTTGAATTTGTGATGGAGGAGATGGAAGAATATTAACTGAGTTTCCATTTTGACGATTTTTTGAAGATGGTGAATTGGAGGTCACAGGCAATGGTGGAATAGATAAACGTTCATTGGAAGAATTTACACGAGATCGTGGAGGTGATGACGAAGATATTGCCGATGTTGGTCGACTGGATGAACTGCTCGAATTAACAATCACCGGATGAGATGCTTGGTTTTGATTCTGACATCTAAATATGAAATACGTTAGTGCTTCGAATGCAGTAATAATAATATTTTTCAGCCTTAATCTCAAAAAGCGCATCTACCTGATCTTTGTTTTTTCTAATAGTTGTACAATATGTTGCTTAATATAGGTATTTTGCAGTAATTTTTTAGCTGTCGGTCGATCATCGGGATCCTTGCTCAACATCGCCTTGATAATTGTAGCCAGTTGTGCACTATATTTTTTTGATGTTTGCGGTGGCTAGAAAAAAATTAAGATTTACTTATTATAATAGCATAATTAAGTTTCATTGATTGAATCTCACCTGACCCCGAATAATTTTGATAACAAGTGAGTTCATATCTTTGGCATTAAATGCATGTTCTAACGTTGTCATTTCATAGACACAACAACCAAGGGCCCAAATATCTTTTTTTATTCAAGAAAAACAAAATATAAATCTCCTAAAAACTTAAACATGCTCAATAACTTACCAGACTAGAACAAAAAGAAAAGAAATAAATTAATGAATTGTGAAATAAAATTTCCTATTAATATTCACCTTTTGTCCGTAGGGTTTATTAGAAAATATTTCTGGGCTCATGTAATATCTGAAAAGATAAAAGGTTAAAATGGCACTTAAACATAACTAGTACAGCTGTCTCACGGTGTTCCGATGATTGTTGTGGCCATGTCACTAGAATTATCCAATATTCTCGCGATGCCAAGATCTCCCACTTTGACAATATCATTTTTTGTCAAAAATATATTTTGTGTTTTCAAATCACGATGCAAAACATTTCTATCGTGCATGTATTGCAATGCCATACATATTTGTACAAACCATTCAACAATCTGATTTTCGCTTAATATTTGTTGTTTTGTTTTTCGTTCTTTTAATTTTGTATAGAGATCACCACCTTCACAATAACTCATTACTATATTAAGAAAATTATCAACCGAACGAAAGGATTCAATATAAGAAACAATATTTGGATGTTTGAGTGATGATAAGAGTTTGGCTTCACGCTCAGCTGCCTCTAATTCGGTTTGTGGTGCACTATTTTGCTGTTTTAAATCTAATCGTTTTAAGACAAACTAAAAAGATATTCATGTCCATGGTATGCGTGTTGTTATGTGTTACAAGTTAGTTATTTAAAAATAAAAGATTAGTATACTGACATATCTCAAGACAAATTAACTTCCGAACCTGTTTGATTTGCTTTGAACGTAGAGGTTGAACAAGCCATACTTCACCTAAGGAAATTAAATAAAAAAAGATATTTATGAACTTGCAAAAAAAGATAAAATCTATAATCAAATTCGGCTTACCGTAGCTGCCTTTTCCAATTTGTTTGATGAAATTATATTTATCTTTTACATCAATCTCTTGAAAATGTAATGCTGGCTCAGACGTTATTTTTATCAGAGACATTTTAAGAATGGGATATTTTGATAATATAAAACGTACAACAAGGTCATTTTTTCTAAAATTAAATATTCTTGGAAGATAATAATAACAAAGAAGTTTAATGAATCACATGTTTTACAAACAGAAGCTATTTTCTCTAAACGACTAGCCATAATCACCCTACAAATTTGACCGATGTCACGACAACATTACCTTGAAGGTGGAACTTGAATTAACGACAGATCGACAAAGTTCAAATAATTCATTTTTTAGAGATTTAGCTACATTTTTTCAAAATGTCATAATCAAGTCAATGAAGTTTAAGTGTATCGCTCGTATATAATATCAAAGGTATCTTGGTAGATGTCGCTCAGTGCACTAATTCTTCTAAAAAATTTTCGTATTATAAAAAATAACATACGAGAATAATATGTTTTTGTAGAATACTGTAATTCTTGTCCTAATATACATTTAACATAAAATAACGCTAAAACATCACTATGACTGTTGAATAAAAGTTTTCGGAAACAACCAAAAGTCTTATGTAGTTTAGCAAGTTTAATGCATGTTGTGGGTATAAACTATTTATTAGGTAAAGTATTTCACGATATCTGCACTAAATCGGAAAAACTATTATATCGATACAAGCATGTTGTTATGTTTGACTCTTTTAAAAACATCTTTCAGAAATAGAATTAAGACTACATCGATTCTCTCGAAGTGCAGGAATCTATAGTATAGAAAAAAAAGAGTTACATTAAATTTACAATAAATGAAGTAAATAATAGTCGGAAATTTAGCTGATCTAGAGACCTGAACTAAAAACTTCTTTTCTTTTATTGTTTTATGATTTACTTAATTTGACTTTAGTCAAGCATATATGATTATAGCATTTCATAAGAGAAACAAAAAAAACGATTATTGAAAAAGAAAAAAATTGTTCTTCAATTTTATGTTTTTCATAAAACAATGCATTTTCTAATCAGTTAATCTAATAAATTATTCATTTATTCAACTTTTTTTTTCCACTTTTTTTTCTCATAATTTCTCTCTCCTTTTCCCGCTCATCTCAATCGAAATTGCTGCATAAATCTACTCAGAAATAGTCGAATAATTATTGATATTATCGTTGCTGATTAATACTTGACTGAGGTTTGTTATAGAATACACGCTTTAAACACACTATATTATTCATGAACTTTTAAATAATGTGTTTTACACGGATCGAGAAAACAACACCTATTACTTTCGCAAAAAACCCTCCTACTCTTTTTGGTTACATTCGACAGGTACTGAACATCATTTATTTCATGTTGAACTTATATGATTTTTAGTTGAAGTGGAAATAGTTGATTCCCATTTCGAAAAGGTAGCTAAGAGTTTAACTATTTCTCATATAGATTTGTCATAAAATGTGTTGATCTTGTTTTAGAATGAATTATTTATTGATAGTAATTTCTTTTGTCATTAGTCTTCTCTGTATCCCGGCGAGAACATTTTCTCTACCGCAAAACACTTTTAATGCCGAATAAATATTAAACAATTATTACCATACATTAAATAATTAACAATGGCAATGAGTATCTTGTACCTCATTTGTTCCATCGAAAACATTTGAAATTGCTTTAGAAAGTTTAGAAACTAAATTGGGAAGAAATTCTACAGAAATTGTACGAGAAATAATAGAACATTTCAACACACTTATGGTACCATCTTCACTATTATTTTTTGATTGTCTGGCCCACCATTCTCTAAAATATTACAATGTTCTATAAATATAACTATTCCTCTCTACTTGAAAAAAGAATAATACCATTTGTTAAATTAGATGATTTTATTCTTATGTCCTCTTCGTTTCTCAACTCTTGTGCATATTTTGCAATCTCTTCACTAGCCAAATTACTGGTCATTACATAAATTGCATTTTTGCCATCGATTGTTTCCTCACCACAGGAAAAAATATCAGAGAGAGAGTTCAAGTCGCATTGACACATCTAATCTTACCAGCTCCAAAAACTCTCAGGCTGAATTAATTTTCGATTTATGCTCATCAAGTTGGTCACATTTCAACAGAGCTGGACAGCTCCGATCCCTCCCGGCTCCGGCTCCAAGTTTTTCTGTCCGGCTCCGTCTCCTTTCCTAGAGTTCTTACATCCGGCTCCAAAAGCATCTTTTCTTGTCTTTCTTTCGATTGAATTTTCTAGGCTTTTAAGTAAGGAAAAATATGAAAATGAAAATCGTTTTGAAGTACAAATATACTCTATAACTGCATGATATATACATAAAAAATCTTCTTTCGAAAGCGTTACACAGAAGTAGGTCAAGACTGAGGTAGCATATATTAACGTGTCATCAGCGCACATACACATATAAGAGTGTCATTTTTATCTCGATCGAACTCAAGAGATGTGAACGATCATATCAGTTGACTGATATCGGCAATAACGAAAGAGATAAATGTTCAGAGGATTTATTGAATATTGTCTAGATGGTCGGTTGATGAACGAAAACCGTTAATATTCATTCAATTAGTTCTAGTCGGCTC